GGTTCGGAGGATTTTGGGGATGACATGGTGTTTAGGGGAAACGGAGGAGGAGTCAGGCGTCGTGAACATAGTACAAAGGGGGGAGGGACTACAGAAAATTGACCGCCGATAAGGCCAGATATTTAGAATACTGCAAAGCCTTTCGAGTTTTGAGTTCTGCAACACTGCCTTCGGCAAGTCATTGCAACTCCGATGAATTGTGGCATTTCTGCTGTAAACTGCACAACAGAAACCGAATGAACAACGGTACTGGTTTGCACTCTTTTAAGTTGACGGGTGTCACATCATGACAGATACATAGAAAAAAAATGTATCCAAGTTTTCTTGAAAGCCTTTCACATTAACGCCTTCCAACTATGTTTTGGTGAAACGTTTCTCTCTAATTTGCATTACCTCTGTTTCCTCTACTATCCACTCGCTAAATTTGTTTAATCAGGGGAGGAACTTACAGTAAATACAGCCCTTGAAGAAGACAAAATGTTACAGCCTCGGGCTGTATCCAAGACATCGGCCATATTTTTCCCACCGGTGAATAACGTCTAGAATTGACGTAAGTGAACGCGAATTGTGATGGATATTTACTGAGCTACCCAATCAGCGAGCGCTGTTGTATAATTTGAAATAATTCGGCACTTTCTGCGTTTTCAGATCTCAGAGAACCCAACGGCTCGTACAACTGTTCTCAAATGCGCCAAAAATTCAGCTCCGAACGATGTTACTTTGAGACCATGTCAACAACCTAATCGCACATGCACAACCGAAAGAGGCGGTTTTAAAAAAGCTACGTTATTGGTTACCACAAAAATAATCGTTTGAGCACAAAGTGCCAATCCAACTGCAGCTGCGATTGAATCAAATCAGAACTCACCCAGAGATGGATTAAAGAAGTCAGACTTCGTTACCTCGACAGCGACCAGTCAAATTGCTAGGCAAGATTGAAAAATGAAGGCAGTCGTAGTTGATTTTTTGTACATTTGAAAACAGTTTTCTAATGATTGATATATTCTTTTCAATTACAGAGATAATCGGTCTGAAGATTCAATGAGTCCAGTTTGTCTTTAAAATTGTTCTTAAGTTTGGGCCGAGGAAAGCAGTCGAAAAAGGCTCGTCTGCAGTGTTACCATAGATATTCAAAGAAACGACAAACGGTTCACAATTCATTTGGTGTCAAAGCAGGTAATGAAACAGCCTTTAAAAACAAGCTGTCGTGGAGTTTCATGTCGTTACAAAAGATAGTCAATTTTGAATGATAGGCGGTTGGAGAAGACACGAATTAGGTGACTTAAAGCAGTGACCCATAATCAGCTGATAAAACAACCAACGGATATTTAACAAAAAAATGTTCCAAACGTGCGTACATCGTCTTCCGTCGTTTTGTCGCAGACACTGCATCCAGTCACCCCACCCCACCCCAAGACCCGCAAATAATAGAACAAACGTTAAGATGACCAGCGTCCTAACTCTTCTGACATGCGCTATAATAACATTTCGGTGTCTACGTTCATAAAGTTAATATTACAATTGATGTAAAAGAGTAGCAAGAGACTCAGAAAACAACATACAGAGATTAAAAATGATGCAATTCGAGAACAGAGATGGTTTAGACATTAAGCTACTCCAGCTCCATAGTCTACGATGTGCCAATATTTGGAACAAAACGTTAAACTGGGAGAATCTCATTCGACGAAAGCCTCGCGACATCAAAATGGACGAAATCTTAAAACATATGATCAGATTCTATTCTGTTAAAAACAGGCGTCGCAGTTTATCTTGGGTCTTCAGACTTGTTATCTCGGCCAGCAATATACCACATGATCATCTCCTCGGAGTTACTCAACATAACATATCAAACATATCATCCGCAAAATAATAGTGTTGTTCAATCAGGGCTTGATATCTCCATATCACACGGTGATAAATTGGCCGTGGGATCGTTAACAACCTCGGCAGGTTCTGGAGTAAGATCGTCCATTATCGTATTGTTTTCAAGTGAAGTTTTGTCTTCCGTTGAAGTTTGTTCGATGTTGTGTCCACTATCCTCGAGTTTGAGTTCTGTAAGTAAGATAATGCTGAAATAAATTGCGACTCTAACTTAGAAGATCAAAAAACCACTTTTATTTCCTTGACTCGCTAATCTTTCAGCAGAAAGTTCCTTAATTCAATTTATAAAGTTTTATTAAAAAATAATAACTGCATTAAATGAGATCACAGGTTTTGTAATTTTTGACATACCCTTGCGTTGCATTTATTGAGCGGATCAACAAGGCACAATCACAAGAGTGACTTACCGATGGAGGGGACGGGGTGGTCACCACCATTCTCAGTAGGGGTGCTGTGGGGTTCTGTAGATGTCTCTTGTTTAATTTTATTAAATTCCTGCGTGTCGTCTACCCTAATCTGTTCCGTTCTCTCGTTCGTTTCCACTAAGGAAATATCAAGTGAAGTACTTTCTCTTCTCGAGTCTATAATAAAAGAAGATACAGTAAATTAGAAAAAAGAAGGCGGCCTATCAATGATTTCAGTGTAAAAAGCTAACTGTCAGTGACAGTGTTTAGTGACGCCAGGTATCTGAGATATGACAAAAAAAGATAAGATCATGAATTTAAGAGTCTCAGTTTTTATCACAACACACTCACCTGATCCAGAAATGCTAAACAGTGATTTAAAATACGCGTACAGTTGATTCGCTTTTTCTCGCACTTTGGAATTCTGTTTGTAATTTCGTATCTGAAGGAAAAAGTTACCAATTTCGAATAAAAAACGGGCACATGAAATTAGACGTGAATAGCAGTCTTCTGTTAATTAATAATAAATAATAATAAAATCTAATAAAAAATAAGTCATTAGAATCACCAACTGCAGTGATTAAAAATCTTCAAAGAGCCAGGATAAGGAAGCTGTGAAATATTATTATCTCGAGTCATTTGAAAACTTACAAACATGGTTTAAGATAACAAAAATTCCAAATACGAGGGAGTTTCAGATAGGGGTGGGGTTGAGATCACTGGGAAAAGGGTTGAAGATACCTGGACGGTTTAATATGTAATTTGTAAAGCGCTACGGAGAACTAGTCGAGCTTAGCGCTATATAAATGCTTTTTTATTTATTATAATTATTATTATTATTATTGTTATTATTATTATTATTTAATATGGATAAGGACTGATCCAATACTGAGTTGTTTCAGAGATTTGAGGCAAAATGACAAAGAGGAAAAACTACTTTGGTCCAGTTCTAAGAGATAACATCAATATAACACGAAACTGAAATACCTGACCATCCCAACAAGTAAACATTGACACACACTACATTTGTATCAGGAAAGGTCTGGACAGTAACATTTTGTGATATTGCTTACCTTTTTAATGGTTTGAACTATGTCGGGGTTTTTCTTTATGATATCTGGGTTTATCTCCATCTCCGAGATCTGAGTGATTATTTTTAAACATTTCGGCACATCCTACACAAGAAGGTGAACGTAAGACTATTTAGTACTGACAATAAATGTTGGTAAATTAGAATGTCGAGATATTATAGTCTACACTCAAACTTCTGTAACACTAATATAGAGAACAAGGAGATCTTACAAAGACGTCCTTGTCGGAGCTTCGAGCTCAAACTTTTTTCAGAGCCACTACTTGGGGACCTAGAATCATTAAAAGATCGATAGAAATGAAATTTTGGTTACCACATGAAAAGGACAGAAAAACTTTGCAAATATTGACCCGACGTTCTATATCACTAACTTCACTCCTTGCCTTTAAAATACTCAGAAAAGAAATAATCGTTTTTGGAAGTTCATGCCACATTTCATGGTTTACTATTCGGATAAACAACAATAGCGATGCAAAATTTTACAACAGAAAACTACGGAGTTGTTATTTTATTGAATTCCATGTCTTTTTTCTCACAACAACTTTGGACCGTAAGCACCTAGTATTAAAAACCCTAAGACGTGCTAAATTACCCCCGGACATGGTCGCCAAATTGTTTATCACTCGCCAAAGCTACCAAACCAGTCGAATCTTAGAGCACTGGTTGTTAACTAGGCTCGACTGATTTCCGGCGAATTCCGACCGATTTTCCTTTGATTTCCGGCGAGCTAGTCATTGGGCCTACTTGTACACGCAAAAACAAGTGCAATTTTGACTATCCAACCACTACAAAAGGTTATCCTTCTCTCGTAGCTTTCCTAAGTACACTTAGTACTTTGACACGTAACCTACTTTTTCAGTTGTTTAGAGTTATTTCTAACAAATGAATTACTTACAGGGGCCTCGACAGTCAGAGACATCACAAGATCATAATTCATTTTGTCCAATATCTCTTCCACTGTAGGAGGTGTTGCTAAATTCAATGAAAGGGACACCAAACTTCAGCACATGATCGAGTGTTTACTTAAGCCTGACTGCCAAAAATTAAATAACGATGTAATAAAGAACAATATAATGATTTTACAGTAAAATTAATTCCATATTTGACTGGGCTCTACTTCTGTGCTCTTATGTATACGAAAGGATATCCTAAACATATCTTGCCGAAAATCTTATGGTTCAAATTGTTAAGGAGTTTTTCTGTGACTCACATTTTCTTCTTTCTCTTTCTTTTCTTTCTTCTTCTTTCTGTTTTTCCCTTTCAGCTCTTTCCCTTGCCTTTTCCCTCTCTCTTTCTTGTCTTGCTCTCAGCTTCTCCTTCTCTTTTTCCCGTTCCTGTTTCTCACGTTGTTTTTCCTTTTCCTTCTCCAGTGCTTTAGCTTTCTCAGCAGCTAGTTTTTCTGCTTTCCTCTGTTCAAGTTTCTCTTTCTTCTTCTTTTCCTTTAACATTGCTCTGAAACAAAAGAGTAAAACAATTATAACATACAGTGTAGATCACTAGCAAACGTTTTGATATCAAAACTTAAGATGCTTAAATATCTTTTTTACTTTAAGTTCTATGTTTTGTTACTAGATTACAAAAACTGACATGCAAATGCAGCAGAGATATTGCTTATCTTTCCAAATACTTGCTTTTTTTTAATCATCACTGGAAACTTTACTGACATGTTAATGTTATTTGCTGGGCAACCTAACTTTATAGAAGTCGACTAGACGATGTGAACCTAGAAAGTGATGTAAGCTTCTTGTCTGTTTCTCTACCTTTACTGTTTTTTCACCATAAGTTTCTAGGATATAAAATTTTCACCAGTCTTTTGTAATTTCAAGCAGTTTTAAGATTTTCATGTCTTTTTTCCTATAAAGTTTCATGATCTCACTGAACTTGAGTAACATCACTTCCACCATTTAAATGGCAAACCACACAAGTTGTTTAAATGCTAATAAACCACAATTTAATAAGAAAGTACATGAACTATAAGACATAACGTATATTAGAGGTACTCAATCATACTTTTTCTCTGCAAGTTTCTGGAGCTTCTCCTCTTTTTTCCTCTCTGCTTCTTTACTTTTTTCTTCATGTTCCTCCTTTATCCTCTCTGCACCTTTATTTGTATCTTCTTCCTCATCTGATTTGTTTTCCCTTTCCTTTTTACCTTCATCTTTCTTCCCTTTGCCTTCTTCTTTCACCTGCTTTGACTTTGGTTTATCTTCTGTTTTTGTTTTTGCTTTCTTGTTCTTTGGCATACTTTCTTCTTCACTTGTTTCCTTCAGAGAAATTAAAAGTAAACAGAAATCTAGAAAAAGCACCAAACACTTCCTAACCAAGTACCAGTGTTCCCAGACTATTGCAGTAAGAAAGACAGACACACAGACCTACAATCAGACAGATAGTGATAAAGTGTACATCAACTCTTGTAATTAGGGCTTCTTGGCCTTCCTTCACCTGGAGTGAGTTAGCATACTGAACTCAGAAAAATTCTTGTCAGGTGTATACCAAATTCAAAAGTGCAACTATCATTACTTTTTGATCAGTTTCATTTTCAGAACTGCTGCTGTTACTGTCACTAATAGCCTTTGACGGTTTTCTTTTCTTCCCTGCTTCTTTGGAAGCCACTCTCTTTTTCTTGGGAGCAGGTTTATATTCCTACAACAGAATCAGAGTGGATGTTCACCAATGCACTATGTATTCACTCATACTCTGTAAAGAGCATGCTCGTTTCTTTCACTTTCCAGGAATGAATGGGTAATTTCCTTAATCATATCAATACATTGTAAATTAAGCAGGAGGAGAAATGAAAGAAAATTATCAATTAGGGGATGCTTTTTTACTAAAACTATTATCTCAAAGCTAAAAATGAAAAGAGAGTAGGATTGACAAAGAGGAGAATTGTTATTGAAATCTTGGGATCAAAAGGCTCATGAGCACCACTCGCTCTTCTTTGAAATGCAGTTTCTACACCCATCGAGAGGCAATGAGTTCTATTGTTACAACTTCCAGTAAATTCACTTACTTCTTCTTTATCACCATCTGAACTTTCCTCTTCTGGTGTTTCTTCAAAAGAACTTTCCTTCAGGAGAAAAACATGATGAAGACTCAAACCATTCTTACAAACCCCATGTATTTATAATCAACTCCTCAATTCTATCAAAAATTTAATGATTACAATATCTCTGAATACTCAAAAGTGATTTTGTAAGATCTCAAACCTTGTCTGACTCTGGCTTGGGTCTCTTTTTACCCTGCGGTATCCTCATTTTTTTCTCCTCATAACTTGCTTCCTTAAAAAAAAAAATTGAAAAGGTTATTTGAAGTTTTCTTTACAAATATCTGTAATTCAAGAGATGGTAAAGATTCCGAATAGGGAGATTTCTTCATATCCTTGGGCTATAAATACATATTGTACATAGATGTTATTGACCAAGTGTGAGGTCAAGAAGACTGGATAGTGGCCAAGTTCTTTCTTAGCATTTTTATGTACTGAGATGAAGTTGTGATCCATCAAAAAGCGAAAAAAGGAGCGAGGCTAATACCCAGCCATATCACTGAACAAGCTTGGTCAATAAAAGATTTATCATATGGCAAAAAGAGTTCCCTCTAAAAAGAATCAAGATTGAGAGCCAGAAAAGAAAGTCAAATGTGTTTGCAGCACAATAAACCCACAAGAGTCGTTTATTTTTTCTTGTTTTGACTGCCTTCTGCTGCTTTTTGTGGCTTCAATACCGACACTGTCCAAAATTTACAAACTTTATAGTTCACCACACCTTTTTTTTTGTGCAAGATCGAAGTGTACAATCCCAAGCAGGCAAGATAGGGCCAGCTGTGGTAGCCTATCAGAACAGAGGATTTGCTTCATCCTGCCCATGGCCACTGCCACTCATATAATAATAAATTGTGTTTTTGACCGGGCATGAAGTTGAATAGGCTGACCATTCCATTATCATGGACTGACATGAAGTCAAGGTCCACAAAAATGTAAAAAAAGACCAGGCATCTTGGCCAAACAAGCTTGGTCAAAAATTGATTTATTAAAAACATCTGAAGCAAAAATAGTTTTATTCAATAAGAATCAAGAGTGACTTTTATATCTTCAAGTGAGGTAAAATAAAAGGCCAGTGGTGATAGTGGGTATTTGCAAAAAAATAATTTCTGTTTTCTTTGTTTTGACTTTCTTCTAACATTTTTTGTGACTTCACTGCTAACAATTTCCAAAACTTATGAATTTTTAGAGCACTTTTATCTTGCGTACAGTCATAGCTAGCAAACACAAGTGGGCAAAATGAGCCTAATGGTTAGCCTGCTGAACACCAAGTAAAGATATCCTGGTTAGAAACCCTGCTGGGTCATTTTGTTGTGTTCTCAGCATTTTCATTAAGGGCCTGGCACCGGCCAAATTGACCAGTTGTAAGGACGGTTTTGCCCACCTGGTTTAACAATCTGGAGGAAGGTTTATCTCATAAAGAAGTTTAGTTCAAAAAGTTTTGCCCGCCCATGAAAACCAGTTACCCTCCTGCTGAAAACATTAATGAAACCCCTGTCTCAGGTGAGAAACTTAATGCTTACAGTGTCTCTCTCCACCCAGAAAAAATACTGGGGAAGGAGTAACCTGCTATGCACAAAAATCCCAACCAGGAAGGAGGAGTAACAATACTCCTAGTTGCTCCTTGCAAAGGAGTATAAGCCCCAACAGGATGGTTCACTTAGGAAGAAGGGTGGATTTTACTTTAAATAAAATAAGGAAATTGAACCTTTGTCTTTAATGTAAGACTAAGGAAAAACTGAGTTTGTCAGGAGGATTACAAACTCAGAGCTCCTTATCCTACAATGGGATGCTCTTCCAATTGAGGGAGCTATTTGCCTTGCCAGCTACACTATCTATACTTGCACTTCATCCATATCTGTTAAGTCTCAAGTATCATTCTTCACCTGTTTTGATGGTTTGGTATCTTTGTTATCAGAGTCTTCATCCTCTGACTTTTTCTCCTCCCCAGAATCTTCATCTTCTTCTTCCTCTTCGTCCTCTGAATCTTCCTCGTCCACATCCTGTCCACGCATGCCCCATTTTACCTTTGGATTCTCCAAAATTTCCACCAGAGCTTCTTTGAAACCTCTTCTTGATCTATTTGTGTTTTTCAAAAATTTTTCTTTGTTCTTCTCATATGGAAATAAATCTTTGGCTTGCATAACAGCCCTGGAAATAATGAAAATCATGGTACTTGTTGGTTGATGAGAAGTGACATAGCCAACAACATGGCCATTACTTCAAAAGGAGGGTTAAGGGGCATTTTGCCCGTAAAATATTCAAAAGCTTCTACAAGCCTTTTAAAAGTGAGGGCTCAACGTTGCAAACAATACAGGCACCAATGCAATTAACATCTGGCTGGAGACTAAAAGTTCTGGTTGCAACACAACCTTGTCAACTAGATTCTTTGTATGTTTTAAATCAAAATTTAAACTGGTCAAGTTCCAAGGTACCTCCTATTGCCTAGTTTTACTTCCCTCTTGAAAAATAAAGAAACTTGGACAGACAAAGCCTCTTAAACATTGAACACCTTCATCTTTTGCCAAATTGGCAGCTTTCCTAGTAATTTAAATCACCATTTTTTAAAATGATTTCTACACCATGGTGACCATGAAGGTGACCATGATGGTGACCATGAAGGTGACCATGATGGTGATAGCTTGGAGTGCTGGTATGTGTTTAAGCGCTCTATCCGATTGTTGAAAATGAAAGGAGACATAACATTTATGATTGTACGGATAACACCGTCTTTGTTTGAGGTAAGAGGTTCTGAAGCAATATGTATACAATCATGATTAACTGATGAAAATCTCCGGGATTATGGCAAAGCGTTGGTGGGGATGATCAATACAGATGATCAAACAATGAGCGAAAAAAACCAAAAATAAGCCACAAAAAAGGATTTAACGTTACCAAACAACTAAAAACAATTTTGCAACCTGTACTCTGTACCGCAAAAGACAACTAGTAGTTCACGTCACTGCGTGCATTTAAACGAGGAAACGAGAAAAATAGAAGAAAAAAATGCGATATTTGTAAACTTACGTCTCGTGAGTACCGAAGAAGAAGATGGCATACTTCTTAGGAGGAATCTTCTCGTCTTGTGCAGGAAGATCAATCTAAATCACGAAATAAAACAGAGCATGTTAATAATAAAAGTCTTGTCAAGTTTGCTCGCGCACAGCAGACAAACTTTTTCATTAGATCAGTTGTCTCACATTTGACGACTTACTCGAGCTGGCCAATGTGGGTAGCCACGCATCTTGGCCCAGATTAAGTCACCTGGTGAATACGACATTTCCAAGCTGTTTGCGAACGAAATTTTGCAAGTTATACATAGAAAACCTCAGGTCGCACAACTTCTCCTTTAGTGCAGTCAGATTCCTCTGTGCATGCACCAGGCTATGTAACCACGCCTTCGTAGATCTCGCGCCAGATCACTTGGAAATCTGCAGTGGCTTCAGACCACCTATAATAATAATAATAATATTAATAATACCTTTATTTCAACACGATGTGTTTCAAAGCTGAACAGCTTGTGGGGTCGTGTGTAAATCAAATAAACTTCTAAATTAAATAAATTCAAATGATGGTTTTTGAGGAGAGGGGAAATCCAGAGTACCCAGAGTGGGGTGGGGAGAGAAGATACGTGTACTTGTCAGCTTTGTGAGCGAACTGAGGCCGGTTAGAGATTTTCCCATTATGACTCGGGAATGGTTTACAAAGGAACCACAAGGGCATTTAAAGTAAACTTCTTTTCAAATTCAAATGAAATAATAACAGAGAAAGATAAGTGATCATATTAAAACATTTGAGCTGAACTTTTGGGAAAAACTTTATTAATTCCTAAGTTTGGCAAGTTGTAATACGAGTTTGGATCTTAAAACCTAGATCTTAAAAAGGATGTTGGAAAATAGCTTCTTTTAGAGTGAAGTAAGGTTAGGATTTGAAGAACAGGTGGTACTCACCTATCAAGAATTCCTTGAAACAATCCTCCAACTTAAGGTGCACAAGAAATTTTCTTCAAAACCAGACAAGTAGGCCAAAAAGAAATATTAAGGTGTTTATTAGGGAACGGTACCCATCTTTCATGATTATTTATTTTTTTTTATAAGAGTTACAATCTGTAGTAACTCCATTAGCTTGATATTGTCTCTTGATATGGTCCTCTTTTCATTAACTAGGGCTAGTAGGTGTAATGCACTGTCTCACGAGAAAGTGGTGGCAACATGATGGCTGCCATATTGAGGTTAAGGTACACATGACTTCCCTATTGCTACTTCCTGAATGCTAAAAAAGTAACTTCCTGGCCCAACCCCAGTGGTACCCCCTGGAACTGGCATGTTCAATAAAAATAAAAGCTTCTAACTTTTTTTTAACAACATTGTAAAAAGCCACCTAAAAAACCTCTTTAGCAAAATATTTGGTGCTGAAGTATGGAACACACGTATGGATTGTTGTTGGTAACTTAAGCAGTTCTTCCCCCTTAAAATAAAGCAATAATTATGTGTGCTGTTTTTTTTTTTCTTTTTCATGAACTGAACAGTAAATGTTTGTTTATTCATTATTAATAATTCTTTGGTACCATTCACAATTTCAAGAGTTAACACCATGATTTCAAGGGATTGCATTTTAAATAATTGCACTGTCTAATGGTTAAATATCACAAATGAACATGACAATTTGGTATATGAAATTTAACAATTAAACTAAAGAGGCCTAATTATACATTAGCAACATCCACTTGTGGCCTTAGGATTGCTGGTCACTAGACTGAAGTAATACCTGATGAACCTTAGAACTGTACTTGTGACAGTCCACACATTTGACATTCTATTTAAGGTCTGACAAAATAAAGTTTACAGGAACAAACTAAAAACTGTCAAGGATTTAGAAACTCTACAGTGTAGAAGCTGATCCAAGACGAACAAGTTGGTAGAAAGGTCAACAGTAGCTGATCAGATTGTCATTACATGTTGACCTTATGCCACTGATTTATTGCCTTGGCAAATTCATCACACAACATCATGTCATGTTTGGATGAGTAAATTTAACTATTGCCTGTAATATTGTATTATTTCAGTTGTACCTCACTCTATCTTGTTGACACGTACAATATGCTAAAGAACTTGCTACCAAAATCTTTCCCTGAGAGGTCTCTCCCAAGTACATCAAGAAACTGAATGAGGACACTACCTTGGGTTATCACTGTTATCAAGCTTTAGAAAACTTTTTTTCCAAACTAAAATGGAAAATTAATAAAGGGGGGCAATTTAATTCTTTTTCTACCTTTACCAGTCATGGTTAGTTGTTTAGCTCCAACTCTGAAAGGAAACCTGTCACTAGATTACAGAAAAAAACATGAGGCTGCTTGCTTTATTCTCACAAGTACATGTATTCATTGAAATTTTTCTATTATTAATAGTGACCCATTATATGAAGGTGTCCTCCAAAACCCCCTACCTGCACTTGTGATAATCTATAATGATTATAATCACTTCTAACAAAAGGGCTAAATGATAATCTGAGTGTTTGTCACAATTTAAGGTAGCCCTAAAAAGTTTCTGTAGATTACATTTTCATAGCACAGACTAGCAGGAATTTGATTGAATCCACTATCACAAATAAAAACTTTGTATTTGCCAAAATAAAATAAAAATTTTTGTAAACTTGCTATCTATGCATTGCGACAGACTCAATAAATACTGGTTATTATCAATATAAACCATGGACTTTCAAATTATTTCATGACTACATTCACAAAAGTGCATATGAAATATATTTTCATTTAATAACACTGATAGTTGATTTGCAAATGAAAACTACCTACGAAATTGCAGACAAAGGTTTACATTTGAATTCTCTTTCCCCTGTGGTTGCATTTAGTAAACCTGTTCCCCAGGGCTGTTATAGACTGTTAACAATTCTAAATACTAAATAACTTACAGCAAAGTAGAAAAAAATTGAAGCAACTTTAACTACATACATCACCATAATCCCCCTGCATTGAATGTCTCACATTCAGTTCCCAAAAACTAAACCACATTATTCTGTACTATTTAAGTAATAGCTGTAATATACAAAGTCTTGTAATTCTAAATAAAATACACCTTTTCTGGTGTCATGGTAATAGCAATCATAAAGTTTTTCTTGGATTTCTTGTTTCAAATGTTTTATATGGTATGTTACCATTTCAGAAGAAAATATTTTCATATGCACTTGAAAAAGCTATTAGAGAAGTGATAATTGTGATCGTTCGTTTAGCACGAACAGCCTGCTTGTGGTTCATCATTTGCCTCATCAACTTCTGTTAGTTTTGTACCTCTGTTAGGATTGTTGTTGAAAACACCATTAGGTAAAGTGGCTTTGTCCACACAATTTTCCATTCTTGCCATAACCTCAAAAGATAGAATAAAATTAAGGTTATTGTAATGAATTACAGTTAAAGAAAAGGCTGGATACCAAGTGAAGATTAAGAGCAAAAAAGTTAGCCGTACATCTTGTAAAAAAGTTTTTGTACAAGTTGAAGTTTTTTTTAATACAAAATGGCACAGGAACAATTCATTTTTGCAATGTTATTGCATCAAACCATTTATAACAAGCAAAAACTAAAATAAGCAACTTGACTTCATATCATGTGGGAGACACAGTGGCAGAGATTTATAGGAATGGAGTTTCAAGCTGCAGCTAAGTCAACCATTGTGTTACATCTCGGGAAGGGCACTTTAATCTCACAGACCTTCTCCTCACCCTGGTGAAGTACACTATAGGCATGGGTACTTACAAACTGTCACAGAAATCTGTCTAACCAAACAATGGGGAGGGGGGCGAGGGGAGGGGGGTAACAGGTGATAGAAGAATACAAACTGTGACAAGCCCTTGCAATGTCAACTTGAGTGTAGACTTCACTTCTATCTTTTGACTGGAAATATGATGACAGAGTTTAAAAGAACCCTAAATACACGTTTTGCACACAATCAGCTCAGGCTTAGTCTCACAATTTATTGATCAGATGTTATAACAAGAGCAGCTTGTGGAGGTTTAGACCTTACTTCAACACATAATGTAGTATGACTGTCCTTAAGATGCACTCTCTTACCTGGTCAAGCAAGGCCTCTACTGATTTGCTCACATTCTGCCCATTAAATGCACTAGTCTCAAAGTATTTCAGACCCAGATTCTCTGCAAGTGTCCTGGCTTCATTCTCATCCACTTGTTTCTGATCCTCCAAGTCTGCTTTATTACCAATTAAAACTACAGGACAGAAAAACAAGACAGCAAAGTACACAGTCACTTAAGTTACAAAAAAATGTGCTGTTACTCTGGAATTGGCCATTAACACTAAGACTGGCTTGGTTTTGTTGGACTGGGTTGAGTTGTAGACTGGGTTGGTTTCTTGACCTAAAATCTTAGGACACAACCTTGCTAAACACTAAAAAAAACGGCTTTGAGCAAGAGGTTCATCCAATTTCTGATCTTGATTTAAGCACAAAAATATGCACGATACACTGCCTAACTGAAAAGATATAAGTGGTTAAATGAGTATGTAACTTAGCAGTATTTAATACCTAGCTTTATAATTCTATCACAACCAAGCCAAGCCAATTGATTGACATCACAGGTCGGTGTAACACACTGCAAAGATTTGAACTTGAATTGGACTAAACTGAAGGAACTTTCTCACAATACATCACTTTTGCTGAGGACACACCATTGGCCTTTTTTAATCCAGTCCACTATCACAGTAATGCAAGATTTTTTGTAGTTCACTCTATCACAACTTTATTTATTGAATTCAATACTGGTGGTTATGAGAATAAGTTGACGACGACAATAATTATACCTTCAAAGGCCCAATTACATACCTTGTTTGCACTACATGTAGTGTTAAGAGTTGTGATCCCAAGTTTTACCTCCAAAAATTATAACTTGAAAGATGCACCCTACATTTGCAATAATTCTTTCTTTTTCTTTAAGAAAAAAGACCAGCTGCTAACTAAGGTGCATTGCAATAAAAAAGCCCATATGCACCCTGAGACTTCCTATTTTTATTATTTTACATTTTGAGATTATTTCTCCAGATATGTCAAATTTGGAGATAAATTCTGATTCATACCTATATCAGGGTTTTCACAGTAAGCATGTGTTTGCAATTGGCTTAACCAGTTCCTAATATTTAAGAATGACTGTTCATGTGTCAGATCAAAGACTAGAAGAAATCCCATGGCATCTCGAAAGAAAGCTGTAGTTAAACTCCTAAATCTGAAAAAAAAAAAGAGACAGGAATAAATTAAATTGCTGTCTAAGCCAGTGTTGCTACACAGCATACAAACTGAGATCTAATCCCTGTCCAAGAAATGTGTGATTTAACAAACATGGTCTTAAGAATAAAGAATAGGATTTAAGACATTACAGACATTTAAAATTTCACCCTGCCTATTCACTTGGAGCCATGTGTTCTGAATGAAGTCAACAATGTCAACATCATGTTAATTTTTTTTATCACAAGTTAGCAGAGCCACTTGCACTTGCCTTGCTCATGTAAACCATCATTACACTTCACAATAGGTGTCATTCAGTTATCATATGTTGAAAGGATAAACACTGAACAATGCTGTGCAGTTTCTTTCATGCCATCTGGGTTAAAAAATATACTGTACCTTTCCTGTCCGGCAGTATCCCAAAGTTGAAGATGAACCCTTTGACCTCTTGTTGAACGGGTTACTCCATCTGGGCCCAAAGGATGATGTATCTGAAAAAAATTATAAAAAATTTAAATGTACTCTCAAATGACTTCAAATGGGAGATATACTATTTTTAGAGACATCTAAATGAAATAAACATTTTTGCGGGTTTAAAAGTTTTTTCTGTGGGCTATAATCGAAAAAAAAAAAAAAAAAAAAAAAAAAGGATTGTGACAATTTTAGGTTGATCTCAGACAACCCAACATTGGGCTGATTGTCTGAAAAAACTGTTGGCAATAATCGCCATCACAGACTTTTAATCTCGGCTATTCTGAAGACTTTTTCTTAACAAATCAAATAATCACTTGCAAAAGTATTGCCTTAACTCTTTTAGAAAACTGGTTTTTCCAAAAGTTCTGTTACTGGCTTCTTCAGCCATATATTTTTTTTCAACTTCTTAAGCAACTTTTCTAGAATTAAATGCAACTGACAGGTGTTCAAGGTGTAGATTTTTGAATTCACTGAGATAAATGCCTTGTTGTTTGACAAGAAACAAAGCTTTGACAAATCTGCATAGTATAACAAAGCAATCAATTGACCTGTACTGATATACCAACAAACAAAATCTGTGTCAGTAATATTCAAATTTATAAATCATACATTTGCATTATTATCCAGAAAGGTGAGCAGCTGGTGTTATGAACTTAAAAGTAACTGTATAAAACATAAAAAAAAACCCTTTACATAACGAATCTTTAGATAAAGTTGGTATAGCATTGATCAAATGACAGAGAGTAAATTGAGGAATTCCTAATTTCACTTGTTATTTTAGAAACTCACATATTAAGATCAGCCACAGCATTCATGTTTTTTGTCACTTTGAAGCCAGGTGAAATTGAAAAGGGGTCTATGCTCTTAAGAATTTCATGAAAGTGAAATTTTAGTTCTGAAGACAGCATCAATGAGTAACCACACAATTTTCCAAATAGTAAAATACAATAAATGGAATTTTTATAATGATTGAGATAGTTAGTTCCGTGGTACAGATAAAGATTTAAATAAAATGATTTGAAAGTGGAATGAATAAGACAACGAAGCTATTTAAATTAAAAAAAGAGGAGCTTCACAATTAAAGATGTAAAAACAATTTATGATTGAGTAAGATTTTGCTGAAAAATTTTTTAGTTTAACGGTTGGAGACTGATGCCTTGAAAGCACATTCGTGCAAGAACTAAAAATATTGCATGTTTCTGTCTTTACAAAGGAAAATTCACAACAAAGTACACGAGTGAACAAAAAATCTTGAAATACAATGACCGTACACAAAAAATGTCTTCGTGACAATTAAACAAGTCCATACTCCCAAAATGATTTTACAAACTGCACTACTTTGGATTACATTCGAAGAGCCTCAACATTTTCTAGGTTATCACAAACATGGATATAAATCATAGGGCCAGCTTTATAAAATATAGACACAGTGTTAAATGGATGTAGAATATCGAGATCACAACAAGTGATCGTTTTAACTTCGAAATCGTTGAGTCTCATCAGAAACAACATACTTCTCATTCAAATCGATGAGAAAAAAGCACTTTCACTTTCCGTAGTTCCTAAAGGACAATCGTTCGAGGCTATTTCAGTTGCTGTGTACGGACGGATTTAAATTTTTGCATCGACTTAAAGATTGTTTTGTTTCATTTCTCAGAGGTAGGAGATCAGGGCACGTCGTGTAATGTCCAAAACAGCGGACTTAATACGATATACATCACAACTTTACCAAAAACTAGCGATGATTTTCTTTAAGCACAAAGTATACACCCTAAAGCTTGAAATATTAATGTAATATAAAAATTCCCAACGCAGAGGAATTACATTATGAGATGAATGTCAATGGATGCTCACGGGTTAAATAACAATTGTTCAAACTATGTAACTTACCACTCTCTTTTCGCGAAAGTCTATCCCCACAGTGGATATAAACTTAGGATTAAATGTTCCATCCGTGTATTGAAACAAAAGGCTAGTTTTCCCGACGCCTGAATCACCGAGAGCCAAAAACTTTAACAGATAATCATAATCGGTATCCGCCATGTTTGATTCGGGAGTTTTCCTTCAAACTTTGGGTACAAAAGTAATGTTTATCTAACGGCTTATCTGATTGGTCTGTTAGATAAATCTTGAACTTTCTGATTGGTCACTCGTAATTTGTCGTAGTTGTGGAAATTTGGCGGCAACAAGGTATATGATGTTATATATTGGGGTGGAGTGGGGTGAAGGACTTTTGGTTCATTTTCTAAATAAATACTGCAATATAATTAGTGCACTAATTAACTGACCAATATTGAAGGAATTTGCTGGATGCCTGCAGACGCTATATGTGCTTCAGAATAAAGTTTTGAAATCAAGGGCCATAGTTTGTGAAAGGCCACGAAAACAAATTCGTCTAGAAACTGGTTGATCGTTCGATGAACGCGAAGACGGCGAATAAGCTATCGGTAATACAGGTCTAACGATGGATTCGAACCAAGGCCGATACTGGACCAACATCACTCATGATATTGTTCATGGACAATTTGCTTGGACTAGAGAAAATAATTAAGAGCCGACACCGCGGAAAGTTAATTGAAACTATTTAACATTAATAGAACTTTTACGAATAATCGGCCTAAATCTGGTTCTAGAGCTGCCCAAAGATTGGTATCAAAGGAAAGGTTTGCTCGATCTCATTATTCACAACTGACAAAAATAAATTTAAAAAATGTAAATGGTAAACATACTACATAAGAAAGATTTATAGAGCTGAACTTCGAGAAATCCTAGAACACGAAAATTAAAGACATCTTTATTTTCTTAACGAAGAGGTTCAAATTTCTCTTCTCTTCTGCATGACATGTTTATTCGCCTTTAGCTCATTTATGTTGATCTGGCATTGCGTGGGGAATACTTTTTACGGGTTCAAAGATACCTCTCGTCGAGGGGTAAAGTACGTTTGAAACGTATTGATGAAGCAATCACGGCATGGAGTATCTCTCATGTACCTGCACTTATGATCATAAGTGTTGAAATCTTGAATACTTGTAGAACTACAATGAGAAACAAACTGCCTTTGGCACGTTTCACTACTTTTTGAGATTGAAGTTTCTAGATCTTTCATTTAGCTCCCCTCACACCCCCCTCCCCCCCCCGCCTCCATTTCAGTGTTGCAGATATTAACAAAAGGCTACTTAGTTCAAGCAGCATTGTTTTTTCGGGTGGGGTGGGGGTGGGGCAGGGGACACTTTCAAGTAACTTTTTAGGGATGAATTACAGGATTTCTGTCCAGGGTGAAGGTTTGTCGATCACCAAGTAACTAGTAATGAAAGGCGTACAGCGTGCCAACTACTTTAGCCACTCACTGTAGACTTTGCTGTTCATGATAGTAACATGAAACTACTCTTTAGTATTGATAAAGGTTGCAGATTCTCAGTATTTTATAGTATTCAACAGGGGTTGGTATCAGTCGCCTATATTCAGTGAGCTCCTAGTTACCGCCTGTGTCGCTACTATCGATGCGTGACTTGTCATGATGATAAAAAATAAAATAACCGTAGGTAAATTATTCCTTAATCCCAAAGACTATGGAACAATTTAGTTGATAAAGAGGTTCTCTTTATCAACTAATTTATTCCAACCATTTTGCTTGGAACGTACGTGGGACACAGAAAGATCTGCATGAGTCTCTTATATGTTATAAAATTTAAAAAACTTCAGTATATGACATTTATGTAACTGTGCTCAGACTCCTATCGATAGTAGGTTGCCTCAAGCACCAGAAAGGACCATCCTGACCCTTAAAATTGAATAAAGGCGCCTGTCTGTCTGTCTGTCAATCCCACGTGTAATCGAACCTCATATTTAGCGCTCAGATGATCTACCCAGGGACCACCAAGCCGCGGAGAGCTCATTGTTCAACTATGCGATATACTAGGTTTAGATGAGTCTCATACGTAGAGCATCGGGACGCAGAATGCGAGGGTCTGTTGTTAGTTTCCTCGCGGGGAATAGACCCTTTCAAGGTTAACGCCGCCATTTTGCCGGGGGTGCAAGACTGCTGGTGGTGCAAAATGTACAGTGAATCTATGGAAAAAGTCGGGAGATTGATGCTCGATAATTTGAGGAAGCCTTCCTCGGTTGACATTCTGCAGTTTCTATAAATTACGAAGTAAAGATACCTGGCAAAAGATGTTACCGATTAAATGTGAAGGGTTCAGGCTCGCCGAGAAGTGAGAAATCTTATTTGTAGTTTTTCATACAAATGCTTTAAAATTTTCCCGCAAACGGCGGCTTGGTTTTATATGGAAAATCAAAATCTTAATTTGCGGCTTTTTTCGCGAGACTTCATTTCTCAAATTTGATTGGTAAACTGGTAGGTCTGGTATCTTTAGTTTGTAATTCACAGAAATTGCACGATGTCAACCTTCCTCAAATTATCGAGCATCATTTTCTCAACTTTTCCCATACAGTCACTGTACAGTTTGCGTTCGCCCCAAGTTTTGCACCCCTGGCAAAATGGCCGCGTTGACCTTGAAAGGGTCTCTTCAAGTGTTCTTTTCTTTTCACGCTTCTAACTAACTTTCTCTCTCTTTCTCGACGACCGTACGTGCTTTGAAATGCCGCACTTTTCCCATGATTCACGCACAAACCAGTTAATGTTTGAGGTTCGGAGGCCGACTCACGAGTTCATTCTAATCTTTTATCAACGTGCTCCAGGGCTCGGTAAGGACTCTCTCCCCCTAAAATTTTTTTTTTAACTCTTTTGTTATGCACGTTGTTGGAAAATGTATTTACACCAATCAAGAGAAGATGAAGTGCCTCAACCCTTCTTCTACTTACATAATGAAGGGATAATTTTAAAGTACGCTTTCAAATGAAGCGTTCCGAGATGCACCCTATCCTTCAACAGTCAAATGCTAGCTTTTATTTTGAATTATATATTAACCTCTGCCTCCGCGCGCACGCAATGGGTTTTTAATTTTGGCGCATGAAAACTTGAAACTAAAGCGACTGAAACTCGATATTCCACTATATAAAGGCTATGGCGGAAACATACGGCACTTTTTGTGCTCTTAACTGAACAATAAGCACTCAACTGTAAGAAAATATCTGTCTATCAGCTTTAGATAGGCAGGTTCCGACGAAAGTCAGGATCGCTAGACAGGTACCTGCTCATGATATTGACATTTGGTCATTTTCCACTTATGAGTTTCTATGTATTGTTTTCTGTTTGTCAAAAATGGATCTGAAAGGACCATGAAGAATAATCCATCGAAAGTCCGATGCATTTGAGACAAGATAACTGAATTTGAATCCTCACGGAAAGGTCGATTGCGTGTGAATATCTTCGTAGCCCGAAAATGTATTAAAGAAAAGTAATTTGAATCGATTCTTGTTCAAACCTCACTTTGATGCAACCCGCTCCTTGTACAGAGAGTTTGAGTTTTAAGAATCCCTACCTTCTCCAGCTCAGTCTTAAACTACTGCATCCGACTGTTGCTTTTTTGAAGAAAGCGAGTTTTTGTGTGTGTGTGTCGCAGCAGATTCAATGATAAAAACCGAACAGTGGGAAAGGAGGACGCATTTCAGCGGAGTATATAACTTGAACATTCAGTAAATACAAGAAATAAAGAAATCTTCATAACAACTTTTTTTCAAATGGGTTATAATAGAAAACTGCTCTTAAATTTACGCCTTTTGGAAGGTGTGAGTTATACATACCACTCGTTTTTCTCGGAAGTCAATCCCTATCGTAGGCACAAATCGAGGGTTAAAATGACCATCCGTGTATTGATATAAAAGACTTGTTTTACCAACGCCAGAATCACCCAAAGCTAAAAACTTGATCAAATACTCTTTTCCTTGTTCTTCGTCGTCAGACATTTCCATAGACTAGATAACTTTTTCTTTGAGCAAAACAAAAACTTCTGCGAACGATTCACGGAAGGTTGATTTTGAGAAGTATTCCCACCTTGTTTTTAAATTTGGAACGATGCCGGAATCTTTCATGGCTGTGTGACATAATGAAGTAAGTACTAAACTTAGGGGTGACTTTAAGGGAGCTCTATTCACAGAAAATAACAGCATGATTGCCTTTTCAGCGAATTTAAGAAGAAGAGGACTAAAGCAAGAAAAAAAAAAAAAGAATTATTGAAACTTGATTTTTTAAGAAAAAAACAAACAAAATTCTCAAAGAAAGCTATTTTCGGCGATTTGAGTATGAATTATGATTGGGGAATTAAAT